AATTTTTACTAAACTTTTCATTTTTCTTGTTACCTAGTATATTGATCTCTGCCTCAGTCAAGAGGCAGAGACTACACAGTAATTTAAACAGGAAAGTTTACCATAAACAAGGGTGAAACTATGACAGGACAGAAACTGCAAAGACAGACCTAACGCGTAGCCTAGTCCAGAGGGAGAACAACCTGGAAGGCAAACTCAGAAGAGGCCCCTCCTCGAGGCTGGCTGCAAACTTTGTTGGAAGTTTTGCTGGTTGCCCAGGCCAGAGCTGGTTCAGCTGTGACCTAGCAGGAAACCCCTGGGACAGGCCAGCGCCACGGCCCTTCACGCCCTGCAGATGGTTGCAGTGTAAGCGGGAGTGGGACCATAACTACACCTCACCCATGGCTGTTTGCAGTGCGCAGCCTGAGCGGCGAGGACAGAGGGAGGCCTGGTTACCTGTCCCTATGAAAGCAGCGAACCCGGAGCTCCGTGCCGCCCTCCTGAGACACGGCAAGGGGAGCACGGACATGAAGCTCCGGCCGCTGACTGTGCGGTCAGTAATCTCTGACCACAAACTTCATGTCTTTAACTTGCTGGCTGGCAAGCAGGGTAAAATCTCAGACCATTTGCAGTTCTTGACACAGACCCACGGAGCACAGGTGAGCCAAGGCTGTGAGGTGCGCAGAAGGTGTGGGGGTCCCGCTGTGGGTGTGAGCCTGCGCCATGCAGCGGCCGCACCAGAGAGCTCCAGAGAAACAGGACCCCAGGGCACAGCGAGCCGAGGCCGGACGGTGGACGTGCCCAGGGAGCTGGGGCCGAAGTTCTGGAGTGTGCCGTGTCCAGGTCAGGAGAACCAGGGCAAAGTGACGTCTGGGCCCTGCCAGGCTATTAGGTCCCCAAGGGTTGCCCTCTCCGGACAGTGGCTGGAGCACAGCACCACTGGATACGCCACGCGCAAGCACCGCGGCAGGGCGGTGAAGCAGACAGGCTCCGCCAGGAACAGGAGTATGAGCCCATCCAGGGAGGTCCATCCACAGCCTCCTCCAGAGCCTTCCTTGTCGCCAGTTTTGCAATCCTCTTCCTTCCAAGTCTCTGCCATGAATTAATGCAGATCCACACTCTGGGCCACCTCTCACCCCAAATACAGCAGGTGACCAAGGGTTCCACTCACGGTTCTGCCCAGCAGGGGGTTTCCCTTCACCCCGTCCTTCACCGTAACCCTCGGGTGGGGCGCAGTGTGCGACCGCCCACCTGAGCAGTGTCTGTGCACCCTGCAGACCACCTCTACCCAGGCTCAGGTTTTTTCTTGCATGGTCAGCTGGCTTAAGGTGTAGCCCAGGAGACCACAGACAAGCTGTGAGAGGAGGGAGGCCGTGTAACAGGAGTTAGTGTCGAAGGAATCTGAGCCACCGACCCCCGCAGTTTATCACATCTTCAGATTTACCTACAACGGGTCTCAGGCACCATTTACGTCGGGTGGTGTGTGGCTGTCACACACCCGGCTTTACCACTGGATGGGTCAGACGCACTCGGGCTGCACAGCCTCCTCGGTCTCACGGTGGAGGCCCAACAGCGAGCCGGAAGCTGCTATCACGACGAGATCGGTTAGCTGCCAGAGAGGACACAGACTTACCCCAAAATCCCAGAGCTCTGTCCTGTGGTTCTCCTGGTGCTGTCCGCGGGGCCATGCAATGTGCCTCAGACACTGCGAAGATCCCTGGATCTGCTGAATCCTAGTGGCAAAGTCACAGTCTGGTTTCTCTTCAGATGGAATAAACCTTCCGCCTTCTCAGGGCAGAGTGTCGTCGCAGCTGGCACCACAGCCCACGCCTGCTCCGGTCCCCGCTGGAAACGGCCAGCCTCGTGGGCTGACGTAGCACGTGCAACTGTGTCTGTTCTGTCTGAATCCCTGACGCCCAGCTAAACGCTCTGCTTCCTTCTCATGGTAGGTGTGCAAAGTACAGCAACTTGCCTCTCACTGGGAAGGGTATTTCAACACATTCCAGACCACTGAACCCCCCGCAACTTCGCTGGGATGGCAGGCCCCTGAATTTTTGGGAGTGTTTAGCTCCCACCTTCTAATTTGCACATGTTCCCCTAAGGCGTCTGGAGCACTTGATGTTTCCTGTTCCAGTAAGCCGGGTGTCGTCAACATTGGTGGACGGTGAGATGCTTTGTGAACCGTCAGGGGGATCGAGGTCTCCGCGGACGGCACTCCAACACGGATCTGGAGAACGGACGAGCCCCTGAGGCAACGCCGAGAGCGTGTTCTGTCCACGCTGCCGGGTGAAGGCAAATTGCTTCCGCCGGTCCTTGCCAGTGGTTTGGAGAAAGGGCCGCTGTCGGATCCGTCGCTGCCACCATGTGCCAGGGGCTGTGCGGGGCTCCTCCGGCAGGGACACCTCGCCGGGCACCGCGGCTCTGTCGCAGTCACGGCTGACGCCACTCGCGGGAGTCTGTGTTCTCCACAATCCGTGCGACTTCTGCACGGGCCAAAGTGTCAATTACACGGTGTTGTGATGCCCGTCGCTGCCCCTGCGTGTTTCAGCTCTGCCACGGTGGCACTGATCTCCAAAGTGCTCTCAGGAACGCGTCATTGTTTCCCAACAAGGAGGGAACTTTCTCACCAGGACTTCCGCCGGCTTCTCCTGCCACAGCGGTCCTCACCCCACAGGTACAGCACCAAGGAGGGGACGCGGCCAGTGGCCGGGATGTTTCAATTACACCTTCAGGAACTGAAAAGTAACTACAGGGAAAATGTGTGCACCGTGAGTCGAGTTAGACATCTGCGGAGTCGAGACCCAGCCATCTCGGGTTCTCAGGAACTGGTGTCAGCTCAGAGGCAGCGTCTGATAGCTCCCGAGAGGTCTAGGTTGTGTCCTTGTCTTTACTCAATGGCTGCAGTTGGTTTCGGGGCAGGTGTAGAGGAAGATCTGGAGCTGTGCTCTGCTGGGAGTGGCAGGTTCTCTCTCAAGAAGTCTGGAGACTTGGAGAGGCCGCGGTTCTCCGCTCCTGCTACCAGACCTGGAGTCCCTCCCGCCGTGTGGGGTGGAGACTACTCCAGTGGGCCGTCCACCCACCTCACTCCCGGGAACGCTGTGACCAATGATTAACCACGGCCAAACATCTCTGTGGAGCCAGGCGTTCCGAGTGGTGGCACGTCTGCTGCTCTCTTGACAATCCTACCTCGTCTCTGGTGGCTAAGTGCTGTCACTTGGTCTCTGCGGCTCTGACATACTGTCACCCTCACCGAAATCAGCAAGTCTGTCTCAATGGCAGCCACTCACGTGGTCACGTGCCGGCCACAAACCACAAGCTTTTTGGGAGTTCCACGCAGTAAGGTTTCTTCTCGCTGCCCTTGCTCCCCGAGGGGACCTCTGGTGGCACTGGGTCAGACCAGGCGGTCTCATCTGACGGGGTGAGACTCAAACTGCGCATCCGGAGGAGGGAGCCAGCTCTGCCTGCAAGTGTGAAGGTCAAGGAAGGACGCCCGAAGCAGCCTGTGCGCCGGGACGACAGTCACCCTGTCACAGAAAGAGTTAGCGACTTTCTGATGTTGGACACTGGTAAACAGCGGTGCTGGGTTTCAAACCCGGCAGTTGTGTGGACCTGGGGCCCTGGGGAGGGTGTGAGTTCCGGGGGCCTCCCCAGCCTGTGTGCCAGCCCTGGCATCACCTCCTACCTCTCTGAAGAACGTCCTGTCCTCCCCCCAGCAGCTCCCACAGAGCCGGGACGGGGTGGATGCTGTCCAGGAAGCCGGGGGTGTCGTGTCCAGAGGGCAGCCCCCGCGGGTCCTCGGAAGCACAAGTGCGCAGCAGTTGCACGAGCAGATTCCAGAAGATTTTTTGCCCTTGCAGGAGCAGGCAGAAGGGTGACCCAAGCCCAGACTGCCGTCCCGGGGACGTGGCTAAGACCGGCAGGAACGGCCACCCCACAGCCCGGCTCTGTCGTCGCCGGGCAGGCACGTGCCGATCCTGCCCCAGAGGCAGCAGCCAGGGACGGTGAAGCCCGCTCAGGCCCGGGGCGGGTCCAGGCCAGGCCTGCGGCCGGGAGTCCCGTGCTGTCTCCGGGGCACACTAAAGGGTACTTGGTCATCAGGAACTTCCTGGACAAAACAAATGGCAGCGAAACAGCCACAGCCACAGGGTCTTTGTGAGTAAATCCTTCCACGGCCACTTTGCAGCTGCGTTGGAGAAGAACCTGATCTGGTTCGGGCGGCCTCTGAGAACCGTGGCGTGTTGGGTGCATTGGTGTCACGTGTGGAAAGGAAAGCCCACTCTGACAAGAGCTCATGAGCTGGTGCCCACCTGGAGGCTCAGTAGATGCCACTGAAGACGGCACATCTGGACTTTGCGCTCCTGTGGCTGGTCACGGCCTCCGCGCAAGGCCCCCTCTGCAGCCCTGCCACACAGAGCGTGGCCGAGCTCTGACAGTCTGTGACCTTCCAGCCTGGGGTGCGGGGAGGGCCCTGGGTGCAGCTGGCTGTGTCGAGGAGTGTCCCTGAAAGTGCCAAGTGTCCAGGTTACCGCGGTTTTAGCCCCTGCAGACGCCGGGCTCTGCGGCTTCTCTGAGCAGCCCCGTTTAGCCCAGGGCTGGCCACGGCCAAGTGCTGGTGGCCACAGGGCGTCACACGCCGGCGGGGGCCAGGCCGGGCAGGCTGGCACAGGGAGAAAGGCTCAAGGGCTCGCTGCGCTGGAGACCGCCCACGTCCAGCCTGTGCGGGCAGCTGCTGGCTCCTCGGCCGACTGCTTTGTTTGAGCCCATCAATCCAAGTCTCTCTCCTCTCCCACCCCCACCCTTGCCTTTAGAGGAACATCAATATTCATGCAATAAATAAAACAACAGCACAAAAAGCTGACTCCTCACTTCCTGCCCACAGGCGCTCCTTCCTCCGGCCATTGAGCGAGCGGCCCGCAGGCCCGGCCCGGTCAGCGCTGCCCTGTGCGCGGCCGCCCCCTGCCCGGCCATTGGCTGCTGCCCAGGGCTCGCCGCCTCTGGGAGAGGGAATAAGAGCAGCCTCGGCCCCAGCTCCCGTCACCCGGACCCACGACAAGGAGGTGACACGAGGAGGTGAGAGGGGCGACTCGGGGACACTTGGAAGAAACTGCTCTTTCTTCTGGGGGAGGGACCAGAGGGTGGAAACCGAGCTGCAGCCCCCAGAAGTGTCCGTGGCAGGGCGTGCGCTGCTGCTCCGTGGACACCGGCCGCGCCAGCCCTGGGCAGCGAGGGGCGCAGGCCTGGGGCGCGGAGAGGTCGGCATCTCCCAGAGGTGCTTGGCTATCGCTGCTTCTCTAACTTTGAAGAGCGAGGTTTTTGCTTCCCACGGGGCTGAGGATCATGGAAAGACTAAAGCTGGTTTAGCCACAAATCAGCCGCTCACTTCCCTCATTCTTCCTTGGCGCTGGGCAAGCGACTGCCTCTGGGTTTTCCAGGCTCCCTCAGTTTGAAATGCCAGGGTCCCCACGGCCCCTGCTCACCACGGAGATCACAGGACGCTTGAGAAGGTCTTTACGAATAAATTATGAATCGGGTCAAAGAAATCGGGTTTTATGGTGGGTTTTAACATTCCTCAGGTTCACAGTTTCTCAGGGAGGCAGAGCCCCTTCCCTCGAGGGACCCTCCGGACATGTCTTTCTATGGCATTGAAGTTCAAAGATTCTCATTTCCAACGGAAACATGGAATTTATTTCCATTGCTCTTAAAAGATAGGCTATAAACCACCAACTGTTTCTTAAGTCAAAGGAAAGAATTTAACAGAAAAAAACATTTTTGAAATTAATTTATAATGTGGTTATGAAGAAAACCACATTTTGCAGGGTTTTCTTATGTATGGAATACGTGTTTTATGCCTTTCCTTTGTAAAAATCCCAATAGTCATACTTCACAGGAAAATAACTCCACGTCCTCTTCCCCAAATCACCACAGACTTTGAGAGGAGAGGCATCAAAATGACGGAAAAGTTTCTTGTTGTTTGTTGTTTCCTAATATATGTATCAATGATTGAAGACTCGAGTGCAAAGTATAAGGAAGTATGAAATGGTAGGGTTTGATCCGTCTGAATTGCTCTATTTGTATAGATACAAATCTCATTGATGTATCAGATTTTTAGGGACTTAAGAGCAAAACAAAATGCACTGATTATTAACAGGACGACGTTAGCAAAGATCAGGCCGACGTAAAAATCTTCAATTCCATTTCCTTTGGAAGATCAGAAATAAATAGAATTCCAAAGATTTTATTCCAAATCATTTTTAAGATGTGATAGATTCAACATGGGAATGGTTTTTCAACAATATTTAATTTTTAAATTTTATTTGACAGTGCAGAGGTCCTTGTTTAATGATTAGAACTCACGGCAGAAGCTGGTAAACTTCTATGCCTGGGCGTCTGTTTTGGGAGCCGCCCTTTGGAAAATGTGCCACATTCCCAGGATGGGCCAGATCATGCCTCATTCTGGGGCCGAGGAGCGAGATCTTGGTGCTGTTTGGGAGGGAGTAGGAAGAGCTGCCCTGTGAGATCTGCAGAGAGACGCAGCCCTGCCCTGTCCCCACTGTGAGCTGCGTTCTGCCTGTCCCTGGCTCAGGGCCACTCGGTTTAATCTTGACCTTAAGATACACTTCTGTTTCTGGTAGATCAAGCACCTTCCACTGTTACTTAAAAAAAACAATGTGGCAATTCTACATTTATTTTTCCAGATAAATTTTACAGCTGTTTTTGTCATGTTTCTCACCCACCAAAAAAAAAAAACAAAATCCCATTTATATTTTTACTTAAAATGACTTAAATTTATATATTAATTCAAAGGAAAACGAGTTCATACATTTTATTTTCCTTAGAATCTTCTGGAAGGACCTACAGTTTTCTTCCTAAACTTATTCTTAGATAATATGTCATTGTCAGATGAATAGGATATTTTGTGCTATGCTTTCTGTTTGTGGATAGAATACAGGAATGTATTGACTTGTATATTCTTACTTTGCTCTACTTGCCTTCCTGCTTTCTGGTTAATTCTAACAGCTTGCGGGTGACACTTTGCTGCCTGCACCCTGTCACTTCATCCTGGAGTCCTGCAGAGCAGAGAGGAGTCTAACCCTGAATTCCGTCCCTGCTCTGCCGGATTGGCCCCATCCTAACCACAAGGCGGAGGGCATGAGAACTTGACCCTGTGACCTCAGGAACCAGGAAGGGAGTGGGAGGGGTGGACCTAAGAGGCAGACCGGCGGATTGTGACATCCGTGCAAATTCCCAGGATGCCCCAGGCCATGCCCACCTGGTCTGAGCCCACAGAGACACAAGCCAAGGCCAGTCCTGCCCATGTTGGGCTGGAGTCTGTGAGGAGGACACATTGGCTGTTCTAGGTACAAACGAGGCGTCTTTCCTCTGCAGGCCCCAGGATGTCGGAGCTGGAGAAGGCGGTGGTGGCCCTCATCGACGTTTTCCACCAGTATTCCGGGAGGGAGGGTGACAAGCACAAGCTGAAGAAGTCGGAGCTTAAGGAGCTCATCAACAACGAGCTCTCTCATTTTCTAGAGGTGAGTCTGCTTTTTAAAATCAGCAATGTATCGTTCCCCCTCCCACTCACAAAGCCACCTGTACTCGCCATCTCCTGGGCCACCCTGACAGTTACTCCAGTTGTTTCGGGACTCCTGGCTTGCATCTGAAAGTTGTCTGAACACCTGAGCCCTTGTCACGGAGGCCGCTTAGTGGCCCCCTTGTTTCCATCTTGCTGTCGACTGTCCTGTGTGTGTAGTCAGTATCTCAAGGAAAAACTGCTGCCGCAAAGGCAAAGACGGGAATACTGACCTTTGTCCAAAAATCTAAGGATTTACAACAATAACGATGGCAGAATGGGATGAAAAAATACTCATGACTTAGCCATGGGCCACTGTAAGAAACTGTTAAACTTTGGGAATGTGTTTGGGAAAAGGCTATCTTTGGCTTTCGCTAAATGTTATTTACCATGGAGATAAAGACGCCAGACGCGCACCCAGTGACTCAGCACCACGAGACACAGGCCCGGCGGATGCGGCCTCTGTTCCGGGCGCACCCAGGCTGGCACATCCACGAGTGACTGTGACGCTCGACTGAGGGGGTGACAGAGGTCCGTGCACATCTTTGGGAAGCCCTGGGGCCTCCCAGGTGGCTCCGTGGAGAACAGGATGCCAGCGAGGCCCTGTGTTTGGTCGGGGGCCCGACTTAGGAAGCTACCTGGGGGCTCCTGGTGACCCCACCTTCTCCAGGCAGTTCCCACTCTTCCGCCCAGACACCTACATCAGGGACTCGCTTCCCCACTCACTGTCCCCACTGCCCTTGGACCCGACAGCCCCTGTTCTGCCCTCGGCCGCGTGTACATGTGAGATGTAGCGCCTGGGTCCCTCACGTGGCCACTCACACACGGGAGAAATGGCCAGAGAGCCAGCACACTGGTGTCTGACCATGAGCTGACTCTGGGTGAGAGGCCGGGGCAGGGCCCTGCTCACAGGGTTGGGAGCCGCCCTCCCGAGCTGCTCACCGCGGGACGGAAAGCCCTGGGTCCCAGCAGCAAAGCGGCGCGTGTTGTCTGGAGGGCTGGCCGGGGTCCTATCCCCTCTCCCACCCAAACGCGCCATCACACCAGAGGGGAGCACACGGCCTGCAGGCTCGCTGGGGCGCCCCCAAGTCTGACTCTGGGACTGGTTTTCTCAGGGATCCAAGTTCATGGAGCAGCTGCTGTCCCACCGTGATTAGGGATCTACTCTCACCAATTCTGCCTTCTGACCTGGCAGTTTGAAAGTCCCAGTTTCTTCTTCTATGAAAAGGATGAAACGAGACTGTTGAGTGCTTACCGCACAGTGAAAGTTCAACAAATAGTAGCTACTAATTATTGATCTTAAAACACAGAAAAAGCTTAGCATGTGAGAACCACAATTTACAAATGATAAATAATTCGTGGTAAGCATATCAAGGCACCACGGACATTTCCTGGTTTGGTTTTATCAAGGCCATTTCAGTTCAGAAGCAGATCTCCCACGTGGCTGGAGTTAATGTCCTGCTTCCACCCATTCTGCCGACATTCTCGGGCCCCTCCCTACCCTCCACTGGCGTCACACTCCTCTGCGTGTTTCACACTCAAGGCAGCCACTGTACACTATGCTTACACTATGCTTTTCAGCCAAGCTGCCCTGTTTGGAGATTTGCTACTGTGAACAGTCTGCATTTGTGCTCTTCTGTGTTCAACACCCACATTCTTTCTACCACACTTGCAGCCCTGCATGGTTTGCTCTCTGAGACTTTGTACATCACTTAGTAACACACCCTTCGCTTGGCTTTGGGCAGAACTCGCAGGAAAGTCTCGTAGTACCTGGAAAGCAACTCAAGAGGGAAAAGGAACAAGGCATTAACAAATGCAGGACATGTTCCCAAGAGTTATTTCAGCAACAGAGGAACTTTCGAAACATTGAGTTCCACTGGAAGCCTTCACTACAGGAGCTTCCACACACAGAAACGTATGAAAAACTTAGGAGGCCCAAAGTTCATTTTTATTTCAAACCATCTTTAGGCTGATCTAGATTGTATTTTTTGTCAGTTGTTTAAGGATAACAACCTGCAGTTTTTCACATTTTGGTTACTCTATTCAGGCTTTTCAAGTAGCCCAGGTCCAGGCACAGGCCCTAGAGACTTCTGCCTGGCCAACAGCCCCCGGCCACAGAAGTCTCTCCTGATACCTTGCATTTGATATCTTATTTCTCGAATCTCAGGTTATTTCTGATACAAACGATCAGTCATCCAACTTTTCATTTTCATGGCCCTAAATTCCATTTTAAAACAAGTTGGGCAACTTCTCTTTTCTCTCTTAGGAAATCAAAGAGCAGGAGGTTGTGGACAAAGTCATGGAAACACTGGACAATGACGGAGACGGTGAATGTGACTTCCAGGAGTTTATGGCCTTCGTTGCCATGGTTACCACCGCCTGCCACGAGTTCTTTGAGCACGAGTGAGAGGGAGAAAGCAGCCCGCTGCTCCTTAACAGAGGTCACCCAAAAGGAAGAGAACGAGGGCTTGCAGGCTAGTAGAAGCTGAGCTCTCTAGTCGTGTTGTAGCTATTTAGGAAGCTTGATTTGCTTTGTGAATGAAAAACTGGCAGCCTCTCTCTAAGGGCTGTTTCAAATGGCCTGCACCATTATTTCTGCTGTATTAGGCACATGCGTAAGCTGTCTGGTCCCAGCGACTTTTGGTCATGATCATTTAGGAAATTCTCAGTCGTAAACATGTGCTGTACAGACCACCATGGCTGTGCAGAATCCTAACTCAGAAAAAACAAAACTGACTGCCAAAAATTACCCCGGGCATCCTTGAGGCTTCCACTGCATCTTAACACGCAAAGCCTTGTCCCCATCATTTGAAAAGGCTGCCCGTCCTTAAATCTGTCCGTCGTCAGCGCAAATAAAGCCTAAAGCAGCTGGATGGTCTGACTGTTCCGTCCCACCTACCCAAGAGCGGGGTGACCCTTTGCTGCGACGACCGAGTAAACATTTCATGCTAACAGCTCTAAACGCACCAAGCCCTGACGGTTTAATCAGAACCAGACTCAGAATCCCGCACTGGGGGCCGCGGGGCCAGGGTTCCGGCTCCGCCCGGGGTGGCCGAGGGGAGCGGGGTCAGCCCGCCGGTCCGCAGACCACCGAGGGCCCCGGCGCGCCCGCCGCGGAGGCCAAGGCCGCCCTCGGCGCTGCGGTGTTGCAATGTATGAAAACCACCGCCGGGAAACTCCAGGTAGTCGTGCCGCCCTCTTCCTGCTTCGTTTTCCTAAGGGCGCAGGCTCGGAAATTCAGACACCAACCGGCCGCTCGCATTTGACTTCAACAAACCCCCCGGAGCGGAACCCGCTCACCAGTAAAGCCAGGGCCGGACCCGGCCGGGACCCGCGAGAACTTCCGGGCTGGCTGGGTCACGTGCCCGCCCCGGGCCCATCACCAGGGAGGGGGCTGCGATTGGCCCGGCCCCGTCACGTGCCCGCCCGGCCGTGCCCGGAAGTGGGCCGGGCTTGGCCGAGGTCGCAGCGGGAGTTGCCCGGTCCCGGGTGGTCGGTGGCCCCGGCCGGCCCCGACTCCCGGCTTCATGACCCCTTGCTCACCCTCAGACCCTCCCGAGCGCCCGAACCTCCCGCGCCTGTCCCGAGGCCGCAGCCCGAGCCGGCGGAGGTCTCCCCGCCAGCCCCGGCTCTCCGCCCAGTGTCCCGGATTCTCCTCTTTCCGGGCCCGGCGCTGCTCCTCCTGCAACCACCGAGGGAGTCGAACTTCCCAGGCCAACTGGGGCCCCGCTCGGGTGGTCCCTGTGGGCAGTTGGTGTCTGCGGTGTGACACCCGTGAGCCCATTAGCTGTTCCCTGCAGCTCTGCCCTGCAGGGCCCCACCCTGGTCTCCCTTTAGCCCACAAGCGCCCGCCAAGACCCTCGAGAGGGTGTGGCAACTCTTCCCAGGCAGTTCTGGGACACCCCTGGGTTGGTGGGTTTGTTTCAGAGTTCTCAAATTTAGGGATTCTGCCCTTCTCTGGCGCAGACACAACTCGGATTCGTGCAATTGCAGATAGCTAGAGATGTCTGGGCATCAGGGGAAGGTTCCACTTGCCCTTCACACCTGTCCAGCGAGAGCCTAGACATTGCCTGGTGCGGCCCCTGTGCCAGGAGCCGGGCTGCTTCAGGGACCAGGTGTGTTAGGACAGGGGCTGCCCAGGCTCTCGGTTCTGAAGGCCAAGGGAAGGGGTTCCTGTGCCTCTTTAACTGTGACCCTCACGGCTATGTCCACTAGCACCCTGACCAAGACACTGTCACAACCTGCTTTCACTGCATTTGGGGAGAAAAGGGCTGGCCTCCCCCTTAAGGAGTGTGGAAAATACACATTGTTCAAGCAGGTTATCACGGGCAAGCCTGGAGCCTGGGCACAGGCCATGAGGATGAGGCTGGCACTCTCCTCACGAAAAACAGCCCAATGCCCCCAGGCACGCGGGCTTGCAGGAGGGAGGCTGGACTTGGCTGGGCCAGAAGGAACTTTTCTGCAGACCCCCTAAACTGGTACCGCTCATTTAAAATGCAGGTCCCTGGGTACATCTCACACAGTGGAGGCCACTCCTAAAACTTCCCTCTTCTGTGAGAGGTTGAACAGGGTGACACTGGAGATGCGGTACTGGATCACATGACCCCCACAGCCCCCTGCACAAAACTCTTGGGATACTTGCTAAGTATCCCAAGCACCAGGCCTCCCGGGGCAGGCGGTTGGGGGGCCGTGACTGGGGGTCTGGCTGTGGGACTGTTTGAACAAGAACTCAGGTGGTTCTCATCTAAGTGACACCAGGTTAGCAAGGCAGCACTGTCTACCTAGATGATTCTTCTGGAGGAATTGTGCCCACCCTCCCAGCATAGCAGGTCCCTCACTCAAGGGTTGACTCTGCAAGGCAGAGGGTGGGCAAGGGCTCGTACATCTAACACCCGAGGCTGCCTGAGCGGGGACATTACTGCCCTTGCCAGGCTCACTGCAGTTGGGCCCCTCTGGACTGCGGCCTCCTCCTTCAAGAAAGGAAGAGTGCTGGGTGGTGTGCCGATAGGCTTAAGTGCCCCCATCTCCTCCTCAAGGCGTCCACATCTTGTACAATCCCCTCCCTGAGTGTTCCCGCTTGCAGGGGTGGGGCGGAAGCACTCATTAAGTACCCACTAAGTATGATGCTAGCTGTGGGATTTTTGTAGATGCCCTTTATCAGGTTGAGTAACTTCCCTTCTATTCCCAGGGTGTTGGATTTTGTCAAAAGCTTTTTCTGTGTTTATTAAGGTGACCCTGTGGTTTTGTTTTTTAGTCTATTGATATGGCATGTTATACTCATTGATTTTCACATGTTAAGCCAACCTTAGATTCCTGGAATAAATCCTACTTGGTCATAGCGTAACAATTCTTTTTATATGTTGCTGGATTTTGTTTGTTAGTATTTTGTTGAGGATTTTTCTGTCCTTATTCATAAGAGATACTGGTTTGTAGTTTTCTTGTGATGTTTATTTGGTTTTGGTTTCAGATAATACTAGCGAGGGCCTTTGTGCTGCATCGTCCCACGGCAGAAGGTGGAAGGGCCAGAGAGAGCAAGAGGGGGCCGACCTTGCCTCTAACAGCATCGCTCCTGTGAAGTGAGCCCACTATTGTGATGATGGCACTGATCCGTTCGTGAGGGACGTGCCTACACACCTCTTAAAGGTGCTGCCATCCTAACACCATCACAATGGCAATGAAATTTCAACATCAGATTTGGAGGAAACAAACATTCAAACCATGGCAATAGATTCTCTCTATTGCTCTTGTCTTTTATTTCTGCCCTAAAATTTATTTCTTTGCTTTTGCTAGCTTTGAGTTTAGTTTGTTCTTTTTCTAGTTACTTAAACTGTAAAGTTAGGTTGTTAATTTGAGATTTTCCTTGGTTTTTAGTGTAAACATTTATAGCTAGAAATTTCCCCCTTAGTGCTGCCTTTACTGGGTCCCATAAGTTTTGGTACATTATGTTTTCATTTTTATTTATCTCCAAGTATCTTCTAATTTTCCTTGTGGTTTCTTCTCTGGTCCATTAACAGTGTGTTAGTTTCCACAAATTTGTTTATTTTTTCAGTTTTCCTTCTGTTATTAATTCCTATCATCCCATCATGGTCCAAGAAGAGACATTGTATGATATCTTTTTCAATCTATTGAGACTTTATTTATAGCCTAACATATGGTCTATCCTGGAACATGTCCCCTGTGCCCTTAGGAAGAATGTGTATTCTGTTTTTGTTGCTGGGTAGAGTGTTCTGTATATGTCTATTAGATCTAGTTGGTTTGTTGTGTTGTTTAAATCTTCTGTTTCTTCATTTATTTTCTGTCTGGTCTATCCATTACTGAGAAGGGGGCACTGACATCTCCAACTATTTTTTTGTTTGTTTTTACTTATTTTTGAGAATCTTGCTCTGTTGCCCAGGCTGGAGTGCAGTGGGATCATCCTAGCTCACTGTAACTTCAAACTCCTGGTTCAAGCAGTCCTCCTGCCTCAGCCTCCTTAGTAGCTGGGACTATAGGCAGATACCACGATGCCCAGCTAATTTTTCTATTTTTTTGTAGAGATGGGGTCTTGCTCTTGCTCAGGCTGGTCTCAAACTCTTGACCTCAAGTGATCCTCCTGCCTCAGCCTCCCAGAGTGCTGGGATTACAGGCATGAGCCACTGCGCCCGCCCCCCCCCACCCCGCGCCCCGCCAACAATTATTATAGAACTGTTTCTCCCTTCAATTCTACCAGTTTTCACTGCATACATTTTGATGGCTTGTCATTGAATGTGTAAATGTTTATAATTGTTACATCTCTTGCTTTATTGAATCTTTTATTAATATATAATGCCCTTGTCTCTTATAATCTTTCACTTAAAGCTTATTTTGTCTGACATTACCAGAGCTACTCCTGCTCTCTTTTGGTTTCTATTTCCATGAAATATTTTTTTCCATTCTTTCATTCTCAATCTATTGTGTCTTTGGATGTAAGGCGAGTCTCTTGTAGACAACATATAGTTGGATTATGTTTTTTCTATTCTGCCAATCTCTGTCTTTTGATTGGACAGTTTAAACTATTTACATATAAAGTAATTATTAATAAGGACAGCCTTACTTTTGTCAGTTTGCTACTTGTACTCTAGGTGCCTTATAGCTTTTTTGTCCCTCATTTCCTGCATTACTGCCTTCTTTTGTGTTTAGTTGATTTTTTATAGTAAAACATTTAAATTCCTTTCTCATTTCCTTGGGTGTATATAGTCAACATTGCTTAACGACAGAAATATGTTCTGAGAAATGTGTCACTAGGCAATTGCATCATTGTGTGATCATAGACTTTACTTATACAAACCTACCTAGTATAGCCTACTACACGCCTAGACTATATGGTATAGTCTATTGCTGCTAGGCTATAAACCTACACAGCATGTGACTGTACTGAATATTGTAGGGAATTATAACACAATGGGAAGTATTTACGTATCTAAACATATGTAAATATAGAAAAGGTACAGGAAAATACAGTATAAAAGATTTAAAATGGTATGCCTGTATAGGGCACTGTCTTAGTCTGTTTTCCGTTGCTTATAACAGAATACCCAAAACTGGGTAATTTATAAAGAAAAGGAATT